AATACCATCAACTTGTTAGTACAGTTAGATTGTAGTTAGGCTGTGTGACAAGGATTGAGTCATAAATTTAAAATAGAGAGCTAATATTATGTAGAGTTAATATTTATAGGAATATTTATGGAGGAATGGTGATAGCTATAGATATAAAACTTTTTACAGTGGGCTTTCGCTAGGTTGGTAGGTACTTGCTGTAATTTTGTAGCCCTAGGGTAGGTTGATAAGTAGAGTAGCTATTATTCTTGCTTTATTGTATATAGCGTAAATCAGCATTAGGAGTAAGGATAGTGTAGTTGCTAGAATGATAAATGCCATACTTCATACTTATTGTTGATAGCAATAGATAACTTAATACCATGGTCGGTAGCACTAAGCGTAGTAGTTAGGCAGTGGTACTTTTTATTTTAAGAGATGCTGTTGCTAGATTACTAAGTGTTGCATCATCATTTCATGCATGTAGATCACGAAATGGGTAGAATTCGTGCCCGTCGGCCGAAAAGAGGAGTACGATGAGGTCATTGAGGAGTACTGAGGAGAAGATCCTCATGCGGAAGGAGCCCTCGGAGCTGTTTGGTGGTGACCCTCTCCACTCCATCGCTTTATCTAAAGGCAAGCCGGTGCACATAATCCCTATTTTTAATGATCCCTAAATATATATATGTGATGTGCATTTGAGTTACGATACTTTATAGAAACTACATAAATATATCTATCCATGAGTCCTACTAGTACAGCCGAGATAGTCATTATGCTCAGATATCGATAGCGTGAGTAACTCCACCAAACTACTACATAAATAGGTAATAAAATATGATCACTCATGATAAAATAGTGGGAAGGAAAATGGTGACCGGACGAGGATATGGTTTGAAGTCTTTGGTGGGTGTAAGGGGTTGTGTCTGCGGCCAATGTGGCATGACTTGGTTACACTTTTTCCCCTGTCTGTATCGATTAACACCGGTACGTTGCAATGGACGCTAGACAAGTCACACAGATCTATTATTCCGAGCGCATACTTGGGTATGGGCGCGGGGAAGACTTGTTGCTCTTTTATCGTGGATCCGGCTCTTTCGGACCGATCGATTAGATGAAGATGGTGGAGGTCTCGGCACCACCTGTGAGTCCGGGACTCAGGAGTGTGGGCTTGGAGTCCAAGTTTAGACGAGACCAAGACACCGGGACAAGAGAGTGATGGGTTAGTCCCGCTTGTGCCTGCGGGTACAAGCGGGACGTGTGTTTTCAGGGGGCCCAGGTTGGGCACATTGGTTCGTGAATCGGCCGCCGAGTCGATCACGACTTGTCTTAACTTTAGCATCGTAGTAAGGACCGAAGATGAAAATGATGAAATAGAACTGATTGCTCAACTCTGGCTTAAAAGTAGAATATGTGTTTATATAGACTGCATAGATAATAACTTAATACAGCCAATAATAACAACCTAAATAAGGACTCACTATTAGTATTGCTTTACCGCTAAAATAAACGAACCAAGCCATAAAAGCTTCTCATATTCCTTGAGTTGGAAAATTATTCCCACTAGTCGGATAAATCTTGCGAGTACATTATGTACTCGGGGTTTATTATCCTGTTGTAGGTAATGCATGAGAAGTACCTTTGTGTGGAGGATTCTTCCGGTGGACTCGGATGGATCATCGTCCTTATCGTTAGATGTTTATTTTAAATTCCGTTGTTTATCATTCCGCACTCATATTTGATATTGTAATAATATACTTTTAAGAAACTCGATATATGAAATGGACAAGTATTGTAACTTCGTTCTCATTATTGTATCTTTGGGAAAATGTGGATTTTTCTTTCTCCCCTTAGGGTGTTGCTGGACGGATACCGCCCACTGTAGCTTACTTTTCGGGTATATTTAGTGTCTGATGAAAGATGAGCGTCTCCGTAAATATGCTATTTTCAACGGTTCGTCGGCCACGACATCCACGTGTGGTACTGCGGCGTCACGCGTGGGATGTAGTCGTGGAGGTGATGTCCAGCGTGTCGCCGCTCGTCGCCGCCCGCATCGCCTGAACCTCCTTGCTGTTGCCCACTATGACACGGTACGGCGGCCCGCGGACGTCCTGCCGCGCGAACGCCCTCGCCACGGCGTACGGGCGCCACGCCAGGTGGAGCAGCACCGTCCACAGCCTCGTGACCACCACCACTGCGACGGCGGCGGCGACCAGTGCTGCACCTCCCGTGCCCATGTCGAGCAACTAACAGGATACGAGAACTCGCGGTGCACGAAGCAAACTGCAATCCGCACGGAGGAGGATTGTACTGCGTTGTGATGTCGTCGCGTGTTTGTGTGTGCCAGCAGTGTCGCTGTGTGTCTATTGAAGCTGATTTGCTATCTACTCCCTCCATCTCTAAAAAGAGTCGATATAAAAAATCGTATTGGTTAAACTTTTTCAACTTTAATTAGGTTTTATTATGAGAATCTTGTCGGAGAAGATATAAATGCTATGAGAATCGTGCCCGATGGGTGACATAAATGCTAATAATATTTACTATAACCATGGTCAAAGGTGAGCTAATTTGACCGACATGGATCTCATAATTACGTTCTTTTGTGGACGGAGGTAGTATTCTATCCGTCCATAAAGAATGCAATTATGAGATTCCCGTCAGTCAAATTTTCTCAAGTTTAACTGAGTTTATAGTAAATTGTATTAGTATTTATGTCTTCAAATAACTTTTATTATGAAAATATATTCTATAGCTAATATAATGGTAATTATTTTGTATAAAAATGTTAGTACCTTTTTATATAAATTCAGTCAAAGTATAGCCTGTTTGACTTCTAGAAAAATAAGAATTGCATTTTTATGGACGAGGGAGTATAAGGGGCTGTTTTGGTTTCCTACGTGATCTCCTAAAATTTCTGCCACATTGAATGTTTGGACACATGCATGGAATATTAAATATAGACTAATTACGAAAGTAATTGCAATAACTTATGTACTAATTTATGAGACGAATCTTTTAAGCCTAATTAGTCCTTGATTTGACAACATGGTGCTACAAAGAACATATGCTAATGATGATTAATTAGGCTTAGAAAATTCGCCTCGAAATTAGCCTCCATTTATGTAATTGGTTTTGTAATTAATTATATTTAATGCTTCTTATTAGTATCTAAACATTCGATCGACATGAATTTTAGGAGCGATTAAAGAACCAAACACCCCTAAGGCAAGAGCTTTGTGTGACGAGGGAAGATGCTGACGGTCGGGTGCGGACTTTTGGTGAGATCATGGATGACTCGGGTGTCTAAATACTGCATAGTAGTCCATCTGCTCCTAAATATTTATCGCGTTTTCATTTCCTGAGAAATAACTTTGACTAAATATATATATAAATATTAATATTTATGGTATATAATTAATATCATTAGATATGTATTTGAATCTAGTTTTAATATGAAGATATAAATATCAGACGTGTTTTCTACAAATCAAGTCAAACTTTTCGCACGATTTTAAACCAACGACGACACAGTTAATCAGGACGGAGGGAATACCTTTTGCGTCTTTGTTTTCGTCGGCTTTCCTGTGGTAACATAATTTTTTTTTATCTGACTACTTGATCGAGAGTAATGCATGAGATCAACATGTGGACTTAATGTGAAAGAAAAGTTGGTAAACTGCTACTTGTGGATCAACGGAGGCCCAGCTCTGTAGTAACTACGGAGTCTTGAAGTAACTACAGAGTAGTAGTAACCAGGACGATGATCTATCGCATCGCATCGCATCTTCTTCTCCGTGACCCGTTCCAATCGAAAATCATACACGCCATCCCTGTGGATCAATGGAGGCACAACACCATTCAGATGATTCAGACCTGTAACTCAAACAGCAGATGCAATTAAAGGCCAGAAAAGAATAAAAGATAAGAATAGTAACTCACAATTTTGTTATACCTTTAGCTTTACTGTTTGGCAATTGAGGTTAAGCTGTGTCAGAGCATTTCCTCAAGGCTAGAATCTACTACTTCCTGACAAGAGCTGCAACTTCTTGAGCCACTGGCATTTGTAGATCCCGTAATGGGAATAGATAAGCTGAGACATTTTATAAAACAAAGTCAACATTCTATTGCATTGAACAGATATTACACTGATCAACTCCCGCTACAAAGATTGGTCAAACAACAAATAAATGGTAAGGGAAGCAACATATGAATCAGGTTGTTTCATAACATTACATGAATCAGCTAAGCTGCCACAATGCAATGAAATAGTCCCTGTGGTACTGCTAATCCTACATCAAGAAACAGCTACTAGCAGCGATCTAATAACTAAACAATGTCATGTGTCCAGGGTGACTTGAAGTTCTTGAACCACGGGTGCTCAAGCGCTTCTGCTGCGGTGAGCCTCTTCTCAGGACGCAGAAGGCCAGCAGGCCCGTCAGCACATAACGCCCAATCTCCGACAGATCTGCCAAACATTCTGGATCAAGCTTTCCGGCTGCAGAGGGTCATCCGATCTCGAAGCTCGGACATCTCGTCAAACATCTCCTCATGTGTCTCTGCGTGGAACAGAGTCTCACCGCTTAGAAGCTCCGCCATAACGCACCTGGAGGCCCCACATGTCGACAGCCGGGCCAGTACGTAATTGCCGTCGAGCAGCTCCGGCGCGTTGTACTGCAGCGTCCTGACGGGGGAGGTCTCATGCGCCTTCCCGGCGGGCTTCTGTCGCGTCGCCGATCCAAAGTCACACACTTTGAGCTCTTCCGAAAGGGCAGACGAGGATGTTCTCTGGCTTCATGTCCCGGGATGGATGAAGCCCACACCATGGATCTTCTTGGCAGCGCTGAGGGGCGCTGCTGCATCATCACGCGGACCACGTCCTCGGACAAGGGCCTCCTTATTACGGCCGATCGCGGAGCATACCCCGCCGTGGACCAGCTCCAACACAAGGTGGACGTCTGATGTGCTGGGGTCGGCGGCGACGTCCTGGATACACGATGATGGAGGTGGCGCGGCACGTGGAGGCAGCCGGCCTATGCGGTGGCGAGCGCGCGGCGATCTGGGCGGCTGTGGCCGATCCATTTGAGCGCCACCTTCTTGCCGGTGCGGCGGTCGCGCCCCCTGCGCACGACGCCTTCAGCGGCACCCTCGCCGGCACCTATGAACAGCCGGAACTCGTCGATGCTCCGGGACCGCTGTGCCGCGAGTCGCTTATTCGCGTCAGCAGCGCGTGCTTCTTGGTCTGGTGCCGGGCGCTTGCGAGCCGTCGGCACCGCCGCAGACATGATCTCAACTCCGAGATTGGGAGAGAAGGCCGGTGAATCTGGGATCGAAGTCGTGAGCGGAGAGTAGAGAGAAAGCGAATAGCAGAATCGAGATGGAACAAGCGATTGGCAGAAGGGGAGGGAAGGGGATCCGACAGCTGCGATGGTGGTGGCCCGGTGGCGTCGCTCTAACGCCTACGAGGTTGGGACTCAAACTCGAATTCAATTTTTTAGTTTCAAGTAGGATAAGGCCCTCGCATTTTCGGCTTTTCGCGGGCGCGTGAAAATTTAGCAACTGACTTCACCGCAGTAAAATGACTTGACTCTGTTTGGTTTATGACAGCGAGGCTTTTGCTGACCTCACCAACGTTACTTGACATCAGCACAGACTTCTCTTAAACAAAATTCTTTCAAGAAATATTATCTATTCTTGTTTGCATAATATAAAAATCACTATGATGGAACAAAATAGAAAAAATTACATTAGCATGGACCAAAAAAACATCAATAATAGCCATAGAAAAAAAATAACTAACACAAAAGAGGAATCATTGTGTGGCCAAGAAAAATATATAACAGTCGGGAATTAAAATTAAATTAAATTAACATGAACAAGAAAACACTATTTTGATGAATAAAAACACGAGTAAAATTACGATGAACACAAAACATACTACCATAAACCAAAAATAATTAGGGCGATGGAACAAAAAGAAGATGAAGGTTCATGGGCAAATTTGACATCACAAAGAAAAAAGCCAATGAACAAGAACAAAATTGCGGAGATATATATTTGAAAATAT